ATCTTGCGTGAGTGCCCCGAACAAAACTGGTTGAGCCCTCTCTCGGGTGGTTCACTTCTTCAAGCTCATTCAAGTTTAGGCTTTAGGGTTCAGGTGCTGATCTAACTATCACTTTGTTTTTATTGGATTATTGGATGGACTGCAGTGATCAAAAGATTCGCATTTGTGCCGTATGGGCCCTCATGTCTTCGGGCCATCAAGGGCGGGCAAGTGGAAATTTTCGAAAATATCTATCGTAATATACCTTCGAATCGTAATCCGAAATTTACTCTAAATATGAGTCTTTCTCGTGGGGTCCACTCTTTTCTATTTAAATCTATATCAAATATTATTTTGAAATTTGATGGCTATGAAATATGGTTGAAAGGATTTGGATCTCGATATAAAGATCCGGAATAAATATTCGAAGGAGCACTGAAATTAATGATGAACCATTTTCTCATAACATATTTGATATGATTCTGAAAATGATATACATATATATATATATTTACGTAGCCTATTCTGAGATAGGGGCAGGGAAAAAAATGGGAGATATGGCATGGAGATGGGCAAGGAAAAAAATTGGAATACGTAAAGAAAGATATTCTTTAATTCAATTTAGGGGTTGGATTTTATAAGATGGATATCAAGATATAATAAAAAAAGATGAAGAAAAGGATGATGAGGATGGAATATCGAAATTGCGATATAAAGGAGGATATACGCTCGAAATAATTGAGAAATAAAAGGAAGAGATCGAAGAAATAGGAATTTGGAATTGATATTTATTCTTGAATTTCGGAAAATATTCTGAAATAGATTATTGGAGAAAATTATATTGATGCTATAGGAGAAATACGAGATATTTAAGATGAAATTCTTGATTAAGAGATTATATTGGATTTGTATAAATAATCTTTCTTTATTCATTCTAAATTGGATCGTATATGATTTATTAAAGATCGGTGTTTAGGAGATGATTTGAGATTTATCGAAAGAGGATATTCTTTATTATTATGGCGTGGCCTTTTACGCCTATTTCGATTGCGCGTATTTTAATTTTTCTGATTCATTTTAAAAATATTTTTTACGAGCTATTTGATAAATGAAAAATCTTGGAGATTTTAGAGCCCTTCAAAAAGATTAGAGGCTCTAAAATTTGCGAGATTTTTGGGGCGGGCGGCATGATTAAAATCTCGGAGATTTTTGGTCGCACGGCCTTTCTCTTGATATGATTTTTTACGTGATTTATCTCTCTTTTTAATTAGTTGGGTATGCGGTTATTCGGCGGAATGCGAAGGACCGAACTAGTCGTAATCTGCCGCGCAACAACTAGCCCAAGAGAGATATCTCTAAATCCTTGGATTCCGATCTATAAATCCATTTCTTCAAGAATCCCTCAAGATAGATTTCTGCGTCTTAGAAGAGCAATTTGATAGATAGATTAATATCCAAATACGCCATCTCCTCAATAATTGCTAGTCTTCAACTTCAAAATATTGACGCTTATTCAAGATTCGAGATAGACGTAAGATTAGGAATTCTTCCTATTATTTTCTTCTGCATCAGATCGCTTATCGTTATAATCATATTCCAACGACGATATTCCGTTCTTGCAATAATAGCGTATCCATTCTAATTTTGATATATTTCTTTGAAGAATGAATCATTATTATTCGCTGAATTTTTTTTTAGAAAGATCTCAATAATATGAATCAATTATTTGGGTTTATCGGCCTAGCTTATCCGGCTCATTTTTAATATATCCCTTGCGGGTCTCTTTAGAGGCTCTGAAATCTCGGAGATTTTAGAGCCTGTCGGAAAAGCTAGTCGAGATTTTCGGGGCGGGAATTACGAATCAAAAATCTTGTAGATTTTTGGTCGTGCGGCCCTTGCCTTGAGAACGATTTTCTATTTGATATTCCTCTCTTTTGTTATCTGCGCGGCTATTCGAAATAATATATAAATCTAGGATAGAATATTAAAATCTTTCAGAATTTACAGATTGACCGTATCTGGCCATGGGAAGTTATATATTTTGTCGAGCCGTCGTATAAATAGATAAATAAGGCGGGAAGATTTTGTCATATGAGGCCGCGCGACCAAAAATCTCCCGAGATCTCGAACTATTTATCTCTCTTGGGTTGTCTGCGCAGCGGCTCGGCGGAATATGTAGATCCGGGGGCGGAGATCCAAAATCTTCCAGAATCTATAGCATGGTCGTTTTTATCACGTGCGGTCTATTTTTTTGATTATTCATCGGATTTCATGTGCAATCTTATTTGATCCATATGATTTATCTCTTTGATTATCTGCGCGATTATTTGACGGAACGTTCAGATCCAAGACGGAGAATTATGTTTTTTTCAAATTTTATATTTCTTTGAGCTACCGAGAAGATAGTCCAAGAGAGAGCGTCTTCTCCTGATAAAAAAAATTCAGGATTCAATATATCTAAGAGAAATAGGAAGAAATCTCGTTATTCAAGATTTCCAATCTTCCTATTCGTTTGAAGGAAAAAGAATCATCAGAAGATTCCGCGTCCGCATTCCAGTCGTGAAACCCCGCCCCCATCCGCCACGAATTAGACGGGAAAGAAGACGCCGAAAGAAGGAAAAATAACAACGCAGCAGCAGACCCTCAAACGAAATGAAGAAGTAATGAGAAAATGGGATCTTCTATCTCCAATCATCTATTCGTTTCAGGTCCCGTCTCTTCAGATTCAGAATCATCATATCCTGCGCGTGGGATCCTGTCAGCAATTTCAGTGATCATCCTCTCTCAGAATATATTTGTAGGAGCTGAATAGAACGATCATGGATTTTGGACGAGCTCTGGTTTTGGTCCCTAGCCCGCTGCAAGCAAATATGCCCATATTTCTGAATCACGAAGGAAATACGTTCTTTCAATATCTGACAAATAGATCCAGTCTTTCGGTGCAAATTATCATCAATAGCTCGGCAAACCGAAATCAGAAGACGATCTCCCTCCGATTCCAGATCTCCAGAATATTCAAAGAGCAATACTTCAAATCCTATGCCCTGGGAATGATATCTTTGGACCGTCTCATGATCTATACGTTTATATTCCGCCTGAAATTCAGCAGCTGATAAACTACCCTGCCCCAAATTAGACGATCGGAAAGGCGAGACAATTAAGATATCAAACGCAATCCTCGATATCAGAGATAAATGAGGCCAAAAAATCCAGCCAGATACGAGCGAGAAAGATTTCGTGCCTTCAAATCTTATATATTCCGCGTGATGCATCTCTCGGGATCTCTCGAAACGTCGCGTAGATAAATCAAGAGAGATAAATGAGGTCGGATGCGGGAGTTGCGCGGCCAAAGATCTCCCGAGATTTCGAATAAATTCTTTCTATTTGCTTATCTACGCAACGATTTGGGGGGAATGTCAAGATTCGTTGCCTAATGAGAATTGAAAAGAAAAGGAAGAAATCTCGTTAGTCAAGATTTCCAAGAAATCTAATCATCTGCATATTCGTTGGAAGAAAAGAATCCCAAAAAGATTCGGCGTCCGTATTCCAGTCGTCAAACCCCGCCGTCCCCGCCACGAATTAGATGAGAAGGAAGACGCCGAAAGAAAGAAAAATAATAAGATAATAGCGGGCCCTCAAAAGAAATGAAAAACTAATGAGAAATGCTCCATCTCCAATCATCTATTCGCTTCAAGTCCCGTCTCCTCAGATTCAGAGTTATCATATCTTGCGCGTAGAATCTTGATATCAATTTCTATGATCAATTTCTCTCAGAATATATTTGAAGGAATCAGATCCGGGGCGGAGATCTAATATCTTTCAGAATCTATATATTAGTTAGTTATTTTATCATATACGATCATTTATATAGATTATTCATCGAATTTCATATGCGATTTTATATAATATATCTTCGTCATTTTTTTTCATTATAGGCATTCTCAAATAGATCATTCAGTCGATCAATTCTTATATATTTCTATTTCTTTTTTTTTATTTTTTTAATATCTCTATCATTTTTTTATCTTAAGAAAATATTGAAATTAGATATAGATTTCTTTAATGAAATTATAAATATTGATTTCATCATTTCATCTCATGCCGGCTTAATCAATAAATATCTGATATTGATATAGAATAGAAATTGAAAATAGATTTGATTCGGATAATGAAATTCGATGAGATAAGAAATCTAGAGAAAGAATTCTATTATCTGAATAAAAGGCGTATTCCTAATCTGAAGACCAATATCATATTTTATAGAATTATCTCTCGAATATATATCTTTATGAAATTCAAGATAAATTTTATATCTCATAGAATAGCGTTTTTTTGTGATATTTGTAATAGAAAGATTATTCAAAAATATATTTCGATAATTCATCTTAGTTATCGATCGAGAATATGAGATCTTGAAAGAAATAGGATTTCTCTTCTTCCTAGATGAATTCTTATTTCTATTATGATTTGAAATCTTCATTATATCTATCATCTTCATTAATGATTTTATTCTTTGAAGATTTCGATCGTTGATCTAGAATCTTTAGTCTTTTATGTTTTTCTCTTCCATTATTCCTATATGAGTTCGCGTCAAAATTATTTGTCTGAGGTAATGGTGGAAATCATTTAGGGCGCCCCGTATCGTTTTGCATGTCTGGGAGGTATCGTTTTG